TTACTATAATTATATTTGTAGTTTAGGAAAGTAGATAAGGTATAAACAGCATTTCAGATAGGTAAAAGTGTAAGTAATTACATTAAATGTATTTACATGCCTATCTTCCTTGAAGTATCATGGTTAGACTTTTCAGTAATTATGTCTATAAAGGCATAGTTCTATGAGATTAAACCAGACTTCCATATAGATACAAAATTTACAATATTTTCACTATAGCTACTACTATTTCTGATCTCCAATGCATTAGGTAATGTCACTATGACACGCTAAATGAATAAATGTGTTATGGAAATATTTCGTTTTAGTTAATTGATAATTATGAACATGAATATTTTGGGTTTTTTTTAATACGCGCTTTGTTTGAAGGAATATTTTCATTTCAAGGAACTTTGATACACATTAACAAACCTATATAACCAAAAAATATAAGTTATAACAAAGTCAACATCATGATCAGTACAGTATTAAACATATATTATTCATAAATCATGAGCACCAAATGTACCTTGCCTACGAAGCGCAAACTTTTTATCTTCAAAAAGTTGAAAAAGTGTTATGGCGGTGGGTATGAAAATCCTGAAAAAGTGTCATATCGGCGGATGTGCGCGTAGGACGAACAGTCCAATTTTGTGACGTCTAATGACATAAAGTGATGTTATATATTAAGGCGATCTTGCCACAACGACAAGGATTAAAGCAAAATTTATGTTTTGTTTGTAAGTTTTGTTTGTTTATAAGTGCTGTTAGTTGATAATTCAAACCAAGCCCCCGGACTAGCTTCTTATCATGGCGCCAACTCGCCCGTACAGTGTTCTGTACGCTTACGTCATGTCGAGAATTCCGTAAAATGCATTGTTCAAAATTTATCAATAGTTCAACCACACTGTGCTTCTTTTTTGAAATATATAGTAATCGTATTTTTATTGAAAAAATAAAACTAATTTTGGATGCTTTTAAAATAGCGATTTGAAAGATCGCGGCATTATTTACACAGAAAATTGCCGCTAGAGGGCTCTAACTCTTTTCGATATTTCAGCCAATGAGAAGGCCAGGATCGGTAAATTTTGTCTGAAAGGCCGTCGCAATAGGCTATGCGTACTGAGTAAGTTTAGCCTAAAAATAAGCATCGATTACTTTCGGTTTTGATATCAGGATTAAAAAATATCATTGTTGGAATAATTCACTGGATCCTTATAAACTCTACAGCATTAAAAAACTACATAGAGCGGATGGGGCTACTTCCACGGTATGGCACATGTAATATATATATACATGTTTAAGTTTTTGAAGACATGAACAGGATTGATATGTATACAGATATACATCAAAAGGCAATTTACCAACATAAGGGGTTGTACTTGAAACTTGCTCTCTTCCCCTTGTAAGGAAGTGGCCACAAAGCACATAAAAACATCGACATATACAGCATTAAGAAAAGTAAATATACCAGATGTTTTCTGATTTCTACTTCTTGGAAGTCATATCAGTACGGAATTGTGAAGGCATACAACGGACTTGCCAAACTTAGACTAACAAAAAGAAGTCCTTGGTTGTCAAAAGTTCATTCTTACTAGATCGTGGCTCAAGCGCCGAGTATGACCATATTGTGCATTGTGACGTCATCGGTTTTTGCTGATGGGTTGTTGTCTTGTCAACTTGATTATTTTAAAAACACTGTTTACAGACCAATCCAAAGGATAGTCAGTGACAGAGAAAATAGACATTGACAGCCATGGGGAAAGGACAACACATCTTCTTTTTCATCTTTATGGTGTTACAACTGATTGCTGCAGGTAAGGATATGATACCCTTTCAGAATTACGTGATTCACTCGTAATAAGGTATGTTATTTACAATCGTAACTACAAAGTTTATTATACTCTTAGAAAGTGAAGGGGGTTATAAATCTCTGAATGTATTCACTTTCGTTTCATTGGTTAGATCACACATGGTCACCGGGGGATGGGGGATTTGGGGTGGGGCGAGGTTCTACACCAGATAAGATTGTGGCAGTCATCGGTAAGATCACACATGGTCACCGGGTGGGGGAATACACATGTATCTTTAATCGCTTACTTTAATCTACATGTTGTTTGTACTAAGTAATTATTCTACTTTGTATTATGGGAATGGTTATTCTAAAATGACAAATCAGTAATATATTTATTTAGTGTCAGAAAACTCGCAATATAACCTATGTGATGCACAAAGCTTGACAATTCTTTGTCAAATTTCCGACTACAACTAACAAATTTATGTTTTTCCTTCTACTATCCGACTTTGGGACCAGTTTGGCCTTGAAATTAGACATAGTGTTTCTTATTATTCAGTTTTAAAAATTCTGTTCGAACCCTCGAACTGGTTCCAACTTATTATTTGATTGGTAATCGAAAAGTTAATGTACTGCATGCTCGACTAAGAACTAGACCTGCAGTTACTACTACATGCTAGTGATAAATACTCTCATGTTTTGTCTAGTCATTATCGAGAAAGGGCTTAATATAATTTAGAAAACTTGTACCCAATCCCATTGAAATTGTTCAACAAGATATGTTTAAATGAAGTCGTAATATACCTGTAACAGTCGATCTGGCATAGTCTGGCACCCTGGGGAGAGTGCGAGGACTTTTGGTCGATAGGACCCGTCAGATGGAAATATGTCTGTGTTTGCAGGAAACAAAAAAAATCCAAATCAACATCTATCTCTTTGTTTGTTAATTGAGTTCTACAATATATTTCTCTTAACGGATGTGGTCTGATTAGAAATTTGTGTTTCAGACCTTACGACCATCAAGGTCGGCGGAAGTGATAACTCGAACTGTGGCTCCACCTACACTTGCGGTGATACTGATGACTCTTACATAATCTCTTGGGAAGGTCGATCGGTAACTGACGGATGTAAATTGACCTTTAAAGGAGAAAATGACCTCAAGGTGTGTGCTGATGGGAGGGCACATACCATTGATAGATGCCAAGAAAAAATTAGCATTTATGACGGAACCGACATCATTTCTACACAGGTATATATATGGTTATGTTCTGTCTATCCGTCCGGATAGTTAATGTGCTTGTCCGATCATAATATAGGAGTTAAATGCCATCCAATGAGTTTGCCCATTGAGCTACCATTGCAAACCTGTTCAGAATCAATACATGTATGTTATGTTCCTTAGAATATTTTCTAATGTAAACTATTTTTTCTAGTTGGGGCATTTATTCTCTTCCATGTGCATATCTTTTGCGATGTCGATTTTCCAGACTTTCGACTAGATTTTCTGCCTTTTGGTCCATATTCAACAAGTCTTTGTAGCCAAGGAATGTAATGTACCCACTACTTAAGTACGTAAAAAGGTATAATCCACGTGTATCAAAAAGAAAATGTTGTATGTTTCCAACAGAAGTGACGATCTTTTTCCCTTCTAACTTTACGAAATATTCACCTTATCACAATAATTATGAAAAGAATGGGATTGTAGACAATTGGAGATACACTGAGCCATAACATAGACACACCTTATTTAAAAGATGTAAAATCGGTTTCAATGTGTAGAGAGCAAGCTCTGTTCTGATTTATCAATAGTCTGAATGAATCGTGATTGTTTCCTTATAAGTTTGATTTGATATTTCACCTGCACAAATGAAAAAAGTAAGATTCATGAGGATGACAGTATGTTTGTGTAATGAGTTTTTTGTCCTGTCAACAGCAAGGGTTATTTTTAGAAGGGGTGTTGTTGATTGTGTCTACCTTATTAAACAACGTGCGGAAGGCTCACCGCATGCTAGCCATCGCAATTTTGTTAAAGAGTCTTCTTGTCCAAAGGCATAACTACTTCAGTAAAGGACAGTTGCAAAAACTACATAGCATGTGACTTTATCAATTGTTTTCACGAGTGTAAAACAATACGTTCGTTCATACTCGAAAACAGTAATGAGATAACTCATCATCTTCAAATTACACACAGTATTTTAATACCCAGAATAAACTATAACCTTTCATAACTAGATACAATAATACCAGTTAGTAATTCGACGAATTGGAACATTCCCCGACAGAAGAATTTTTAACATAGGCATCTGTGCTTTTTAGTGTCCCCGACGAAACCCCACATATATTCTGAGCCCGTAATTAAGGATACTATCTTCTACCTGATAAGTTTACATAAGCGTGCTTCATGCGTCTCTGTATACCGTTCTTTCAGTCTCAGTCGATCCATTGTACATCAAGGTCTGCCAGGTTATGTAGCGAGAGCGAAGGGACGATAACCGTGAAGTTTAAGGATGCTGACTACTCCTCCTCCTCTAATGTCACGATCAAAGTATATGGACAAATACAAGAGGGTGATGATGACGACGATAGTAAGTACATAATCAATGACATGGTGGGGTGGGTTGGGGTTCCCGTAGTTCCATTCTTTGCTTTACCTACCGAATCACCTGGGAGAGATAGGTGGTAGTCCTATAGATTAGGTCCGACAGCAGAAATAGCTGTCAGCCACGAATTCAGCTTTTTGAACATTGTGACTATATGGATAAGATACAACCAAACTATTAGGCGGCATTTGGTTACAAAATTAAGGAAATCAGCCTTTGTTTGGGATGCTCTTAAGAATATATGTTGCTGATTATCTGCGGAGAAAGTATGTATATAAGATCGATTTCAAACCAAGCTAATCTGTTCCCTCTTTCTACATTTGACTTTTCGTCCGACTAATCAATCTATTCCATCACTGACGAGCCCTGGAAGGACAAAACAGCACGGTTTACTTCACCATTTGGCTCTACTGTACCTTATTCAAAATTTCTTGAGAAATATCGTTATTTCTTGTGTGTTTTTGTTAGATCCATTCAAAAACAAAGCACGGTAAACACTATAAACCGTACAATATGTAAGTGACGTATATAGCACTGATCGTTCCTGGCGCTGTGGAGAAAATGCTTTTCTCATATGTTTATCATCTATTACAGATTACTATTATCTCATACAGCCTATTGCGACCGCAGCAGGAGTCGTTGTAGTCCTCATTGCTACTGCTGTCGGTTGGTTCATCTTCTGGAGAATTTCAAAGAAACGAGAACAGCAGCGAAAACAGACGATGTCAGCTAACAAGCCGTTAAGTTGGGCTGAACAAGCACAAGCCCAGCAGAACCAGGGCTACACATACAACACTCCACAAGCCCAGCAGAACCAGGGCTACACATACAACACTCCACAAGCCCAGCAGAACCAGGGCTACACATACAACACAGCCCAGAATAGCATGTATCCAGTGGCCCCCCAGCAGGGAGGAGCATATCCCGTGGGGAAACCCAACTAAACGTATATAGTTTTTGCATGTCTCTTAACATTTGACGACAGGATAATGTACATCTATATCTTTCTCTTAATATTTTACAACAGAATGAAGGCAGATCTCTTGACATTTTACGACAGCAGAATGTAGGCAAGTCTCTTGACATTTTACGACAACAGAATGAAGGCAAATCTCTTGACATTTTACGACAGCAGAATTTAGGCAAGTCTCTTGACATTTTACGACAGCAGAATTTAGGCAAGTCTCTTGACATTTTACGACAGCAGAATGTAGGCAAGTCTCTTGACATTTTACGACAGCAGAATTTAGGCAAGTCTCTTGACATTTTACGACAGCAGAATGTACGCAAATCTCTTGACATTTTACGACAACAGAATGTACGAAAGTCTCTTAATATTTTACAACAGAATGTTGTCCGGAACGTAAGAGACACAAACCATTTGATGCCTGTCTGGAAACGCTCCCTTTCATCCAAATATTATTTCCAAATACAACGTCATTATCTCATGCCCTCCTGTCTGTCAACATTGTAATTACATACTAAAATGCTTATACCTGAATCATATATCAATCAGAGTACGATGAAGTGGTGTTACCATAACTTTGAACCTTGATGAGAGCTACTTAACTAATCCCTGCCAGAATCTAAGGGACTTGAATCCCGTCGTAATTGTATTGAAGTAATCTTACTGTACTTTCATTGACATTAAGTCATTATGACTTGGGCAATCAATATTATATCAGTGTATGTAACGTGTTCATCTAGATATACAATGTGGTCACTGTTACCATTTCTAAGATACGCTAGAAAAACGCTACATTAATGTTCAATTCGGTGAAGTTTTGTACACCGTGTTGAGATATTGTTACCTTTGTGCCTTTGTACATTCCTTCCATATAAACATCACAAGTAGAATTAATCGGAGAGTGAATCACGAGCTCAACTGCCAGAAATGTACGTTCAGTTGGAGCGGAATCATGGCCATTGGCTAGTTGTTATAATTCAAATGATTGTCGACTTCAGTGTGTAAGCTTTATGTGATATCACAATGATGATTGTCACAGTTGTAAATACAGATATATATTTTTCAAATTGGTGAAAAACATGACAGACATAACGGGAAAAGTTTATCTATTGATTTATCACCAATATAAAGAAATACGGGTGATTTTTTGTTTCAGAAAATAATGCGCGATTCATCTGTCTTGAAGACAAATACCAAAAATGTTTATGGAATTCAATATGTTTTATATTTGTTAACATGTGTTTTATGATATAAAGATAATGTATGAATCACACTATTTTGTCTGTGTTGTCTTAACCTGGGCCTCTTTACCTCCTTAGGTATATGTTTGCTTTTGTTGTCTCATTGCTTCATATCGGTGATATGACATCACAGATAAGAACTGTAAATCCCCAGTCTCAATCTAAGTACGAGACTTATAGAATAGTTCACCCCTTGGCAGGTGAGATAGGTGGATTCAACTCTAGGGGAAAGAAGATTAAATTAGCAAACCAAAGCTGATGCTGGCTTTTGTTTGTATGCTTATTGGTTTTTTATGTCTCCTGAGAAAAAGAACATATTTCAAAGAAGTTTTCGTAGGTTCCGCTCGTCTTCTCTAACATCTTTCAAACGTATGATTTATAAAGATATTACCATTCAAAAAATCAGATATATGCACCATGTCACTTTGGTGAAGCCTCATTGTGAAATATTCCTATTATGTCAATAGCAAACGACGGAAGAAACGCTGGATAAATTAGTAAATAGTTGTACATTAAAACTAGTTGATTACTGGTAATGTGAAATTAATTAACTGGATTAATCTGTTCAATAAAGGAATACTTGTGTATATTTTCCTGAGAGGAATCGTGTTTTAAGTAGGAGGCACTCTCCAAGTCTGTACTGAGGTGTGTAATCATACCTGAAGGTACGAGTGAATGTATGTGTGTATATGACCTTTAAAATATAACTTAGGGTTATTTAGGTCAGATCTACCTGTATTTATTTTTAGACTATGGGGACAGATAAGGCAGCATTCCTTACCTATACCAAGTAACCGGTTAGAGAATTGTCTATTGTCGGTAAAGTCATTTCGCAATAGAATTTCGTGTCAATCCTAAATCTTATATACGAACACCTTTTTATAAATCTGATCTCCATACAATATCTAAAAGACATTCGTATATCGCTTTATATTACAAAATGTGTCAAGTTGAATCACGTGGCATAGTTTTCATCTAACCAATAGGTCTAACCATGTTCTGTAATAAAAGGATGAGTAAATACTATATTGAGTTTGAAATTGAAGCTACTTTTATCACCATGTACTTTGTAAATTAAATTTCCTTCACTCCTGTCTTTATATACAAATCAGCATTTTCATAAATGTGTCTGAAATTTATCCGTTCGTTCATCGATGTGCATAATCCATCTAAATTTAAATTTGGAGATTAATATTGCTTTTGCCTTTTCTTAAAGTACAACAACACGACAAAACCACAGAGAAAAGCAAGTTGTTACTTCTACATAAATGTAAATTGAATTATACGACATATGTGTATGTAAAGTTCAAGATATTATTTCTCTTTGTAGCATTTTTATCTCAAATTTATTCATAAAGGCTTTGTAAGAAAATTTTGAAAACAAAAGTCCGCTCCGGTAAATTTATACAGGGACATTAACAAGATGAATTTATCTTTTCATTACATTCTTGTTTAAATGTATCTAATAGCCTAGTTTTAATAATGTTTATAATATAATCAGGTGTTAAAATATCTTTATATTGCTCTTTGTACCCCACATCCAGTCTACACTGTTCATCTCTCACACCATACAGTCATTTGCTTACGTTTTCTTACATATCTTGGTAACAGTTATCAGAATGCTTTAATACTTAAAAATACGATTTTTTTGTGATATTTTCTGCAGGAACTCTACCTAGTTCTTGGTAGATCATAACATTTGCATTTCAAAATAACTTAAATGAAGTTTCTCAATATCTAGTGCTTAATGAAAACCTCAGATTTTAGCCCCGTAACCGTATATACTACAAACATATGGGTCAAAAACGTGAAGTTGTGTTTCGAAATTAAAGTAATTATCTTTACAGACACGAGATAACAGAACAATGCTTTTCTACCTTACACAGCCATTTTTTGTTGTGTTTGATTAAATTTATCGTTAAAATGAAGTAATACTCCCAAGTAATTGAATTCGTCTACATTTTCTAAAACACATCCATTAAAATACCTTTTATCTTCCTCTCGTAACCTATCACCATCCATTTTGAAATACCACAACTTTTTAAGCGTTTACTATAAGATTGCGTTTATTTGTATGCAATAACAAAGAATCTAACATTTTCTGTAATCCCTAAGCTGTTTCTGCCAGAAGTGCCATGTCGTCTGTATTCATCAATAAGAATAAATTTGTATCTTGCAGTTCAGTAGATGGATACTCATCTGTTAAGAAATGGATTTCACAATCATTTACATATAAAGAAAACAATAGAGGAGATAATATTTTCCCTTGGATTAATCCATTACTACAAGCTAAGAAATCAGACAAACTATTATTATACTTTACGCAATATTTTACATTACTATATTAAAAACGTGTTATATTTAGCATCTTACCCATAATGCCTTCCTGTCTCAGTTTGTACCATAAATTATTTTTGTTCATGAAGACAACTGCCATTTTGTTATCAACAAAGCAGCAGTATAATCTCCTTTTCTTTATTAATGTTTTACTAATTAGTTTATGTAATTTAGATATAACATATATGGTTGACAGTTGCTTCCTAAATCCAAACTGAGCATCTGTTATTTTAGAGTAAGTTGAGTCAAAATAAACAAGTCGTCATTAGATATTGAAATGAACATTTTCCCTGAAAAATTTACTAAGATCACCTTTCTTTTTAAAAAAAAAACTGGCACTGTATTTCCTTCAGACCATGACGCAGGAAAATAGTTGGAATTAAAATCATTATCAAACAACACTACAAGACAGGGTACAAATGTGTCTGTTCCCCTAATAAGATATTCATTTATCAGCATATCTGTCCACACGCTTTAGATGTATTCAAGTTATAGATAGCTTTAATGACCTCACCGTCAGATATTTTTTCATCTATTTCTTGGAAAAGAGAATTTGATACGCTAACATAATTATTTTTAAAAAATCAAATACCATTTCATTCTCTTATGGTTCTATTGAGGACAACTCATTAGAATGATTTTAAAAAGTCCTTTTGGGTAAAATCACATAGTCCGTTATTGTTTCTTTTCCTAAACTTACTGTAGAAAGCTTTCCGATTACTTACTCTCATATAATTCAACATATTACCTGGTTGTGATTTATATTATCGCTTTAATTTCAATTTTAGCTTTTTATAGTTACGCTTTTAAGGTACAAGTACATCCATGTTTGCATCAGACTTTACAGTATTACAATTAAAAAATGCGTTTTTATATTCAACATATCTGTTTTACAAACTTCATTATAAGGCTAATCATGAACACGTTTTTTAAAAGTCCTTAAGTAGGTAGCTACGGTATTCAAAGGCATCAACAATTCATTCATTACATTTGTTAACTTCGCCACACTGTTATCTATACCATCTTATTCTTTAAAACATAAGACATTTGATAAATTTATATTATTTTCTTCTAATAACCTTAGAACTCTCACAGCATGATCTTCATTCCGTTTTACATTTGTGTATCCCTTTTCCTTGTTACTATCTTTGTTTGATCAGATATATTATCACTTTTAAATCAAAAGTAATACATATTGGAGAATGGTCTGAAAAATATTTAAGATTCCACTCTCAGAATGGACAATATTCTGAAATAGGTTATCACATGTCAATGCATAACCAATCAAGCTATATCCTCTATTATTTAAAAATGTTATACTATAATTTGGATGGTCTTTATGGCGCCTGTTCATATTTCTCAATGATGTAGTTTTACAAAGAGGAGGAAGACGTCTTCCAAACTTATAAACACTGGAGTACATGTTAGAATGTGTTGGTGGTACAGAGTCATTTACATAGTTTACAACATTAGAGATAATATTCACATTCTCTTGGTTTACATTATCATTAGTTATATAGTCATCTCGAATATCTGTCTTACTATTAAAATCTACAAACATAATCACCTTCCCTAGCCATTTATAATTACATATCAACTCTTCAAGACTAACAAATATGTCTTCTTCACTTACTGGGAAAACAGTACAATTAACAGTAAATACATATATATCATACAATCAATTAATTGTAAATAAGACTTTTTAACTTTGTGTTCTCATACATTTTGCACGATTTTGGAAGGTTAAAAACAAAGAGATCAAGAACAGAAACGATTTAATGTGTCCTTAATTTTCAGATTTGTAATATTTTAAATCACATGTAGCTCATGTTTGTTACATGAACTAGATGAAACATCCTTCTTCAATTAACCAAGTTTAGTTTATATTTTTACAAGTGTTATCTTTTGTTGATTTCATGTAAGGATCTGAAAAGCAATATACAATGTAAATGTCTATGGAAGTATGCAATATACACGACAAGTGATGTTTCTGGATTCATTTGAAAGGTTAGTGTCATGCAATAATTTACGTTTAGGTTGCTCAAGAAAAAATAACTTGAGTTCAAGTTCTATCATCGTTCAAAATTGCGAAATCGATCCATAATGCTTTCAAATGAAAATACTAGAGGTAAACCGAACGCTCTATATCGCATGTAATTAGCACAATTTAAGTCACGTTCGCGCGGCCGTGTTGACATTTTGCTTGTAAAGTAAGACTCTACAAAAAAGTTATACAGTATACCTGTATCTGGTCAAAACATTTGGTCATGTGCTGATTACTAATCAACGGTAAGTGTTTGGTGTACAGGTGTGTTCGGTGTACAGGTGTTTGGGATGTTTATAGATTTGATATATTGATATTGAGTACTTCACATATATGTTTACCATGACTTCGCGTTTTATATGTACGTACGTTACTGCTTCTGACAGTGAAATGGTGGAGTGAGGAACATGAGTTTACACCTATTACAATACATGTGGGATTAAATAGTTGTTGACATTATGGTCCTGTAGCGTATTTACACATTGTATATCATAGCGATACGGGTATAAGTGCAAGCAATGGCATTATGTAGAACGTCCGTCTATAAATAGAATGAATCAATGAAGACATGACTTAAATGACA